TGGACACCACCAAGACCGTGCTGACGGGCACCAAGGACACTGTATGTAGCGGGGTGACAGGTGCCGTGAATGTGGCCAAAGGGGTAGTCCAGGGGGGCCTGGACACCAGCAAGGCTGTGCTGACGGGCACCAAGGACACAGTGTCCACTGGGGTCACTGGGGCAGTGAATGTGGCCAAAGGAACTGTCCAGACCGGCATGGACACCACCAAGAACGTGCTGAGGGGCACCAAGGACACTGTTTGTAGTGGGGTGACAGGGGTGATGGATGTGGCCAAAGGTGTAGTCCAGGGGGGCCTRGACACCACCAAGACCGTGCTGTCGGRCACCAAGGACACCGTCTGCAGTGGGGTGACTAGTGCTGTGAACATGGCCAAAGGAGCTGTCCAGGGGGGCCTGGACACCACAAAGTCTGTGGTCATGGGTGCAAAGGACACTGTGTCCACTGGGCTCAGTGGGGCTGCAAAAGTGGCTAAGGGGGCCGTCCAGATAGGCGTGGACACCACCAAGACCGTGCTGCCCGGCACCAAGGACACCATCTGTGGTGAGGTCACCCATGTGGTGAGCCTGGCCCAAGGAGCCTTGCAGGGGGCCCTGGACCCCAGCACCACTGCACTGACCAGCACTGCGGAAGCTGGTCCTGCTGGGCTGGCCAGGGCGGGGAATGCGGCCTTGGGTGCCGCCCACACCAGTCTCAGCAGTAGCCGAAGCTGGTGTCCTGGGGCCCAGGCCGAGGGCTGGAGTGGACCTGTTAGCTACAGCGCTACAGACCCAGGTGGCCAGCAGACCGCTCTGACCCCCCCAGAGGCCCTGTCCTCCAGGGTCTTCATCCTCCCAGACCCCCCTGGAGCTGGCTGGGAGCCTGCTGGGGAAGCCACAGGTGTCACCACGGCCCTGGCGCCTGATGTCGCCCACCTCACCCAAGGGGCCCTGAGCGAGGCGGCGGCAGGGCAGCAGAGGGCCTCGGCTGTGTGCCAAGGAACCACTGGCTTCGCCACGCTTCGAGACGAGCTGGAGGGGCTGGGGGAGATCTTCCACCCCATGAGCTCCGAGGAGCAAGGTGAGTGGGGCCGCGGGAGGGCAGTCTCCCTGCCCTGGGCGCCCAGCCACCCTGCAGGGCAGCCTGGGCTGAAGGCTTCTTCCCCTCCAGCTCAGCTGGCGGCCTCCRGGCCGGGGCCCCGGGTGCTCTCAGCAGACCAGGGAAGCTACTTTGTCCGCCTCGGTGACCTGGCCCCGGGCTTCCGCCAGCGGGCTTTTGAACATGCCTTGAGCCATCTGCAGCACAACCAGTTCCAAGCCAGGGACACACTGGCTCAGCTCCAGGACTCCTTCCAGGTGGTAAGAGACTCCCCCTCCCGGGCCCCCTACCCCCAGACCCTTCAAATGCCCCTGTGCCAAGGCATCCACGGGGCCTCAGCACTAGGCCCAGGCCATGCTGTGCAGAGAGCAGGTGGTGGGGTGGCCCTCTGAGGCATGTTCTGGCCAACAAGACGGTAGTGTGAAAGCCTGGAGAGGACAGAGACAGCAGGATAGCAACCTGGGTGGGCACGTGCCAGGAGCTGGGCACAGTGGTGCAGTGGGAAGCTGGGAGGGGTGCCACAGGCTGGTACAGCTGGAGCAGCTGGGCTCGGGGTATACTGCAAACGTGGAGCACCCAAAGGTGTGTGGGTGAGGACAGAAGGCCCTGGTGACGACAGGAGGAAAGCAGGGTGCTGCGCAGCTGGGGACGGAATCCTGAGACTGGCTTTGTCCCTGGAGGCTTCTGCAGGAGCAGCAGGCTCAGTCTCACTGCAGGGAAGGCTGGAGGGAAGGCCCTGTGTGGGACAGGACGACGGGTCCTGGGAGGGCCGGGTGTATGTGCTGGGGACACAGCGACCAACAGTGAGGTAAGAAACATCCAGTGAAGGACAGYGATGGACAGTTAGTGACAGGAAGGGACAGAGCCACTTCCCGCAGTGCGCAGGGAGGGCTCACCCAGAGGCAGCCTGGAGGAGTATGCCTGGGCTGAGTGGGCAGCACATGTCAAGGCCCTGAGGCCAGAGCATGCTGGGAGGGGTCCAGGGACAGATAGGAACCTGAGTGACCCCTGCAGAGAGAATGATGGGGTGTTGGTGGGGATAAGGCCATAGATGTCCCTGAGGCTAGACCACACGGGCCTAGTGAGGACTTGGGTTTTACCCGAATGACGATGGGAAGCCATGTAGGGTCCTGGGCTGAGCGTGCCATGATCCCACGGGCAGTCCACCTGAGCACCTCAGGGGATGGGACTGTGTCCTCCACCCAGAGGAGCCCACTGCTCATGGCCTTCCTGCCAGGCCATGGGGAAGGTCTGGTTGTGAGACTCTAAGGCCAGCACCCTATGAACGTCCCCAGTCCCGGCCAAGGCACCATCATGTCCCCAGTGCATCTCTTTCTAGATTGAGAAGGCCATGAAGGCTCCGCAAGSACAGCTGTGCCTGGACCGGGGATCGAGTGCCGGAGCAGAAGATCTGGGTCCCCAAGAGGTGTGTCTGGTACTGGGTGGACCCCCTCCAGGCTGGCCCTGGGTCCACTCACCGTGCTTCTTCCTCCCACAGGCGCAGGACACAGCGGCTCTGTCTAGGGTGTGCACCCTCCTCAGGCAGCTGCACACAGCCTCCAGCAGTCTGGCCTCTGGCCTCCAGGGCCTGCCGGCYGGGCTCCAACAGCAGGTCGGGCAGATGCGGCACAGCCTCTGTGAGCTCTACGGCATCGTGTCCTCGGCTGGGTCCTTTGGGGAGCTGCCAGCCGAGCGCCTGGCCCAGAGCCGAGCAGGAGTGAGCCAGGCATGGCAGGGGCTGGACCAGGTGCTGGATGGCCTGCAGCACAGGCCCCCGCTTGGCTGGCTGGTGGGGCCCTTCGCCTTGGCCCCTGGTGGGCAGCCATAGGCATCTGCAGACCAGAGCGCAGGCGTCTTCTACTGCTTGCACTGCCCAGGGAGCCACGCTCAGAGCCTCCTCCTGGCCCCCAATCCAGCACTGGTCCCTCAGAGCCCTGGGCCCTGCAGGCTAGAGCTGGCCGAAACAGGAGCCATAGGGCACGTGACTATCTGAGTTCAGCCACCATGCTCCAGGGCCTAGGCCTGTGTCCCCACTGCTTTCTCCCCTCTCCTGACTTAGGAGCTGGGCTCGCTCAGACCGCTGACCAGGGCCCCGCCTGAAGCCCTCCAGTGAGCACGTCAATTAGGAGAATGGAAACGCGCCCAGTGTAAGGTGCGCCCCACTTGCCCCACTGCAGACTCCTTATCTTTAGGGGGCTCTTCTAGGCCCTCAATGTGGCTCCACCGCTATTGTCTTACGGGTGGCTCCCACGACCACCTGGCTCTGAAAGCAATCCCAAAGCCCTGAGAAACCACACTGTCTTTTTTTCTCATTTGGTACCAGGGATTGAACCATTGAACCAAGGGACACTTAACCACTGAGCCACATCCCCAGCCTCTTTTTTATATTTTATTTAGAGACAGGGTCTCACTGAGTTGCTTAGGGCCTCACTAACTTGCAGAGGCTGGCGCTGGCTTTGAACCTATGATCCTCCTGCCTCAGCCTCCTGAGCTGCTGGGATTACAGGTGTGGCCACCATACCCGACCCATATGGTCCCCCCAACCCAGTACTRGGTATGGAACCCAAGACCTCCCACATGCCAGAGAAGTGCCCCACCGCTAAGCTCCGCTCACAGTCCTTTTATTTTGAGATAGGGTCTTGCTAAGTTGTCCTGGATGGCCTTGAACTTAAGATCTTCCTGCCTCAGCCTCCTACCTAGGYGACAGGTGCACCCCCATACCTCATACGTAAGGTGTCTTGAGAACCTTGCTCCCTYGTTGCAGAATTGTGTTAGAATACCACGGCCACTCTGAGGCAGACGCTCGTCACCTCTGCTAGCAGCCAGTGAGGCTGAGAAAGGGCTTTCTGAGGACAAARCTGCTGCCAGCCAGCAGAGTCACCTCCAGAGCTCTGCACTGGCTTGGCTGTTGGGTGAGGGAAGTGACAAACCAAGCTACTTCCTGTCTCTGGCCACTTACCCACAGTCCTCTGGTCCTTGAGGAGGCAGAGGGGATGGAGCCTGACAGAGCCTGCTCAGCATGCTTTGAGATCTGGATTAGGCCAAGGCCTGCCTGGGTGATAACTATGGAGACCCCTTCTTCCCTAGCCATACTCCCCTTGATCTTCAGGGGGACCCTGAGAGGGGGATGAGGACATTGGAGCTGCATTGATCAGAAAAACTGACAGGTGACCAACCAGCCTGCTTTCCAGTTCTAACCCTCTCCTCTCCTTGCCCCGAGTGCCCAGAGATGGGGACACTCAGGGTGTCCATGAGCCAGGAGCTTCCTTGCTGCTGGGCCCCACTCACTGCTACAGCGGGGAGCAGCTGCCTSATGGAAAGCCAGCGACCAGAGACCTGCTCGGCCGCCCTTCCCAGAACCCTGTAGCACAGTGATGACCACGCTACATCGAAACTTGCATCTCTTTTTTAAGCACCATCTTCTCAGAAAAGGACCCAGGTCCTTTGAGCTCCAGCAGGTGCAGGATGGGTGAGCTGCTTCGCTCAAGGGTCACGGTGGATGCCTGGAGTAGTGCAGGACCAGGTCACATCAGCTTAGCTCTAAGCTGGAGAAGCTGTGCCTCAGATGACAGGGCTACTCTTGAGTGCCCAGCCAGCTCTGCCAAGGCTCCTTCTGTCTGTGCCACATGCAGTCACTAGACGGCGGGGCCAGGACATCAGGTCCATCCAAACCAAACCTGGGTCTGAGGCTCWGGAGTTCCTCCCTGCAGACCATACCTACTTCCCATCTGGATAGGGGAACTTGGTCATCACAGGCAGGGGACAAACACTAGAAGCCACTGTTAAAAGAACTACCGAGTAATAGATGTCCATACAGCAGAGTCATGAGGTGGGGTCACCMTCTTGCACCCGTGAGGAAGGCCACATGCCAAGCTCAGAGGAGCTGGCAACGCAGTTGGCACGAGCGTGGAGGCCCACACCAAGGCTCATGTGGGGTAAAAGCTCAACAGAGGAGACAACTGCAGCACCCCTCTAGGCACCAATGCCTCCTACAGCCTAGGGGCGACAGACACACTAGAGTCAGGGCACATAAGCTGGGACATTCAGGGAAGGTGTACTCTGCACTCTGCCCTCTGAGCCACCTCTGTTCCTGCTTGGCCTGCCCGCACCAGGCTGCCAAAGGCAGGAAGAGCCACCCCACAGCCTCTGTCTGAGCTGTGAAGTTCTGAGCCTCGTTTCTCCTCCTCTCCTGGAGGCCCTGCTCCATCCGGCCTCCTTTGCCACTAGCACCACAGGGCCTGAGGTACTGCAAGAACAGTCACTCTCACTGTTCATGGTGGCCCAGTAGCTTGACACTCTGTCCCCTAAGGGCCTCTGACAGCTGCAAACTGCTCCCTGGCCTTGGGCCCCGCTTCCCCACCAGTGATGTTGGAAAACCAAGTCAATAAAAGCAATCTTTTTTCATTAAAAAACCCTTTATAGTCATTTCATGTCGGTCAGAAATCACAGAAATTAGGCAGAAAAAAACCCAAGGAGACAAATACAAACAGCACAGCGTTTCCCCAAAAGTTCTCTGCTCTCATGGGAGGCTGGGAAAGAGACGGGGCAGGCCTAGGACTCTACTGTGGCTGAGCTGGGCCAAGGCCAGGRCTGCTGGGCTCAGCTCTCCTCGTCCAGGGACTCCGAGTCCAGCTGCGCCCTCTCGTGCTCCTGCTCCTCGATCCCAGGCCTGTCCAGATCGGGGCCCTCCCGTAGGCTGCTGGTGGARCACAGCAAAGGTGGCACATGAGGCTGTACTGGCCCTGTCCCTACCTCTGGAGCTGTCAGGCAGGGCCAGTCCTGAGAAAGAGCTGGTCCTGGCCCCAGGCACTGCCTTGCTCTCCTCTCCTGCCCGGCCCACTGGTAGGCGACTGCGAGCACCTGGAGTGCAGCGCCCACCTGCTGTGGACGTGSCGCGTGGGAGGCAGATGGGCCATCACAGATCAGGGCTGGGTGAGTGGGCACTGAACTAACCAGCCTCACCTGCCAGGCACAGCCCGTGGCCTCAGCCCTGGCTGCAGGCGGGGACTGGTGCTCACAAACTGTGCCTGCCTGTCCCACGGGTCTGCAAAACAGCACCTGCCCAGGATGCCTGGCCCAGGCAGCTCAAAGGCCTGGAGCTGCCCAAGGGGGGGGGGGGGGCACTGTTGGCCAGTGCCAGCCAGGTGGACCAAAGGCTAGCTGCGAATTTGTGACGGGGGTCCAAAGTGGAGGGAACATCTCTGGGACTCTTCCCAGCAAGACCAGGTCCATCAAGAACCAGTGATAAGACAGTGGGGTACACTGCCCACTGCCTCCTCCCACAAAGGCTCCCCTCTTGCAGGTGACACTCACTTGTTGTGCAGATCTTCAGAGGAGCCACGTCTCAGGCCCTCCTCAGAGTCCTGCCCGTCCTCCTGCTCCTTGTCCTCCACATTCTCCCCCTTCTGGGACATGGCCTCACCATTCACAGGCGCTGAGAGACCTGGAGGACAGAGGGCCATGGCACACTGCTGGACTAGGTCTGGGATTCCCTTACCCTTTTTGTCCAGAGTGAGTCGGCTTTGAGACAATATGCTGAAGGTGAAGGACAGTCGACCCTCCTCAAAGGGTCCCCCACGAGGTGCTAGCTGGGTGAGTCACTTCTACAGCCAGCTCCAGGCCCTCAGGGCATCAGTCTTAAGAGAGGGGGGCCCCCAAGTGACAACAGGGAAGAGCACATCTCAGCCTGACATATAAATAAAGAGCAGCCTCAGGGCTGTCCTGACTGGCCTTCAGCTAGGCCACCTGGTCTGAAGGGCTGACCTGAGCACCTACAGTTGGGACCACCTGACCCTGGCCACCCTACGAATCCCTCTGTGCTCTCAATGCCGCCAGCCTCCTCAGCCACCTGGGGCCCAGCAGCTAGGCCGAGCCTCGCACCCACACTGCCACAGCTGCCTTTCTGGGAACTCCCAGCTGCTGGCCTCACACACACTTGGATCCCAGGGGCACGTGTGGCCCCCAGGCATCTGGGCTCTGGGCCCACAAGCAACACAGGCACCTGCCATCACGAGCAGGCACTGTCAAGGCCTCAAGGCCACCTGCACCCTGTCTGGCACTCAGCAGAGCCAGAACACCCTTTGCCAGCTATGCCGGGATGGAATCCGGTCTGCAGACGCAACCAATAAGAACACTCACTCCAGACAGTCTGGGGAAGAGAGCAGAGCTGGGTTCCCACCCAAAACATCCTGCAAGCACCTGCTCTTCTGGCCAGGAGACCAAGGCTCAGAGGCCCATCCCACCCCTCACCGGTGCTGGGCTCCTCCTCCACCTTCTCCTTGGGGGCCTCTTCCCCAGCCAGCTTCTCCTCAGCCTTCTCTGCCTCGGCCTTCTCCTTCTCTGTTCCAGTTTTGTTCGCTTTYTGGATCGCCTCAATCTTTGGTCCCAGGACCCGTGACTTGAGCCGAGTGTAGACTTCTGCCGCCTTCTCCATCACATCCTTGTTGGCCTTATATCGGCGAATCTGGCCACCAGGAGGCCCCACTTACTGAAGGCAGCTGGCCTTGCCCACCCCAGACCCTCCTCTCCAGTTGAGGCTGCCACCCTCCATGGGGTGCCCACAGCCACCAGCCCACCAGGAACCCCAGCTCAGGCATTCCTGACTGTGCCTGGCCCACCGCAGGCCCATCCCTAGTCCCACCACACCTTCTTCAGTGTGGCCACCACATCTGTGTTCTTCTGTAGAATCTGAGAGGTCACCTGAAGGGTCCCTAGTTCTTCCAGTGCATTAAGACACCTCTTCACATCCTGTCGGATGGGGAGTGAAAAATGGCAGCTCTGGGCAAGAGATATCCTGGCCTCTCTGCAGGGAAGGCTGCATCCTGCAGAGCAGTGCCACTTACTATGCCACTGGCAGGGACTCAGGACAGGCAGGGAGAACCCAGAATCCCACTGTTGGGGATCCTCCTGAGGCACCCCTGCTGGTGAAGCTAGGCACTGCCTTTGGCAAGGCCATCCCAGGCCTTCAGCTGACGGAATGAGGGCTCCACCAGTGGGGCCCTGGATTTGCCCAAGCTTCCCAAGAATTCTAAGGAAGCCCTGGATGCAAGGTGGCAGAGGGGACCACACGGCTCAGGGAAGTGGCTGTGCTATGATACCATGGCCCCAAAAATGTCTTACCGGGTTGTCAACCTTGAGGGCAAACTTGATCTCACTGTGCAGTTTCTGGAGTTTCTCCTCCACAGAAGGTTCTAGGGCCAGGAAAGACAGCGAGCGGCAGGACTTAGCGAGCCTCCAGGCCCAGGCCACAGGAGTACCCAGCTGGGGCAATGCCTCAAGACCCCCAGAGGAGCCAGGGTAGGGGAAGAAGAGGGCAGGGGCCAGCTAAGCCCACCCTGCACACGCTCCAGCCCCCGCCTCAGGGGTGCTGAGGACCTGCCTAGTGCTTTCTCGGACCAGAGAACCCCACCTCCATGCACTTGCCCCCACCCCCAGCAGACTCGGGATGCGAAGCCCAGGCTGCTGGCTCCTCACCTTTCTTCTTCTCCACCTTCCGGTCTAACTGGAACCCTTCGGACCGCTTTCGGGTTCGTTCTACCTTCATGGGCCTGTGGAGAGGCACCCCATCATACGGAACCCAGCAAACCATATAGTCCTCCCACCCAGGAACCAGCGCCTGGGGGTGGACCCACCCAGAGGGCAGAAGGAAACCTTTAGGAGGCCCCAGGGGCTGGGTTAAGGACAGGTCAGAGCTTGTCACTATCTAGCTCCAGGACAGGACCAAGTCAGCTACAGGCCTCAAGCAGACCAAGACCCAGCCCCTCTACACGGGCTCTGTGAACCAAGCGGTGTGCTAGAACTCCTCCTCTACCCCTATGGCAGAGGGCTGGCAACAACAGAAAGCGCTTGAGTTATATTCGAACGAAAGCGAGCACACTTGTCATCCCAGTGACTCGGGAGGCTGGGGCAAGAAGATCACAATTTTGAGGCCAGCCTCAATAACTCAGCAAGACCCTGTGTCAAAATAAAAAACAAGGGGCTGGGGTTGAGGCTCAGTGGTAGCATGCTCGCCTCGCACGTGTGAGACCCTGGGTTCAATCCTCAGCACCACATAAAAATAAATAAACAAAATAAAGATATTGTGCCCATGCATAACTTAAAAAAAATTTTTTTTTTAAAAATTAAAAATTTAAAAAACCCAAAAAGGACTGGGGCAACTTGGCTCATCGGTAGAGCGTCTTGGGTTTATCCCAGTACCAAGGAAAAAAAGCAAGTAAGTCGCACATCACACTCCATGGCACAGCAGTCAGAGGGCCACGCTGGCCGGTTCTCCCGGGCTGTCTGTTCACCAATGGCTGGAATTCCATTTACAAAGAGGGCCAGGGATGGGCTCCACCTCCCTCCCTAAGTGGGTCTCAGAACCAAAACTACCAGGCTGGGGCTCGGCTGCTGCCCTTGGCCCTGTGGACACTGGCCGTGTCCTTCTCTGGGGGAGGCGTCCTGGGCACTGCAGGATGCTGAGCAGCATCCCTGGCCTTCACCTGCTCCACGCCAGGAGCTCCTCCAGTCATGACAGCCACCACTGCCCCCAAGTATCACCAGGGATACCTAGGGGCAGAACTCCTAGCCTTGGGAAGGACCACAATCTTGGAGCCCTGGCTCCCCCTCAACTTGAACCCTCAAGTGGATTTGGCTCYAGGGCTAAATTCCAAAGCCAGGCCTTGATGAGGGAGGAGACCTCCTGGGAGGCGGAGAAGCACGGGGTCCAGGCTGGGGTCAGGCTGGGGGCTGTGGRGCTGACCTGGCTCTGGGCTTCTCCTCAGGCCGCCCTCTCTTCTCCTTCTGGCTGGGTTTCCTCGGGGGGTCTGTGCTTTGCGGTTGCAACTTCTTGGTCGCTTTCTTTGCCTACAGCAGCCAGGGCCAGGGGTGGGGTTGGAGCATAGGTGGTGGGGCTCATGGTCCCAGACCCCAAACCACCCTACCTAGAGCCTCCCCACTCTGCGGCCCTTCTCCCTGCCTGCAGCTGGTGGGCAGGAGGCGGACGAGGTAGAACCACATGTGGCCTTCCGAGGTCGACTCCTGTTCTCCGGCCCTGAGAGGGCTAAGCAGACTTGGGAGTCCAGGGCTCCACCAATGGGAGGACTGAGCTACATTCTTGCCCAGCAGCTCAGGGTGGGGTGGGGACCCCTCCTCTGCCAGAAGCTGGGTTCCCCTTTGTAAATAAAGGGGGTGATGGAGAGAAGAGTTTTTTTTCCAGGTTCCAACAAAGAAAGAAGACCTGACCTGGGGTTGCCATCATGTGCGATCCCTGGGCTCAGGCTATGAGGCSAGACTGAATTCTGCCAGACTGCCAGCGTCCCAAGTTATAGAACTTAATGGGATCAGAGCCCAAGGCACAGAACAGGCTCACCAGCTGCCACCACTCCTCAGAGCCCTAAATGCTCCCACACCCACCCACAAGCTGTTTGATCCCTTACAGTGGCCAGAGGGCACGTGTGAACACCTAAAATCAGACCTCTCTCCCCTCTGCCGACAGCCTCCAAGGCTCCCACCTCCCTCAGGGTCAAAGGCCAAGTCCTCCCCATGGCCCATAGGTCTCTGTAGGACCTGCCCCATGCCCTTCCTGCCTCCCTCCTTCCTCTTTCCCCCTTGTTCCCTCTGCTCCAGCTAGGAGCCCCTCACTGTGCCTCTAGTATGTGAGGCCTCAGGGCCTTTGCATGGGTGGTAATTGCTGCCTAGAATGCTTTTCTCCCTAGATCCCCTCTCACTTCATTGGCTCCTTCCTTAAATGTCACCTTCTCAACTAAGGGATCTACTCCTATTTAAAGTGGAAAAGAGGCTGGGGATKTATTTGGTGGTGAGGCCTTGCTGGCATGTGTAAAGCCCGGGGTTCCATCCCAGCACCACAAAAATGGAAACCGTACCACTCTCCAGTTTGAGCCTTGGACACCCATGTCACTAGGGCTCTCCGTCAGCTCCCCCAGCCTGGGCTTCCAAGCCCACTCACTGCTTCAGCGCTACCTCCCCAGCAGGTGAAGGAACTGTACACTAAGGCCACAACAGGGTGAGGGGGACAACACAGGCAGCAGCCCCCGCCACCRTCCAGGGCACACACCTCTCTCTCTGGGTCGGCCTCTGGCTCTGAGTCAGAGGAGGATGGGGGTCCACGGCCCCGGGCCCGGCGGCCGCGCTTCCTGAGGGGCTCGTCCTCCGTCCTGAGCTCCTCTCCACTGCTGCCGCCACTGCCCCCACACTCAGTGTCCCCGCGCTCCGCACGCCGCCGCTCCTTCTCCTCCTTCTCCTGCTCCCGTAGCCGCCTCAGCTCCTCTTCCTGCTCACGCCTCCGCCGCGCCTCCAGCTCCCGCCGCCGCTCCTCATCCCGACGCTTCCATTCACTGATGCGGTCCACTTCGTCACTGTCGCTGGGGCAAATGGCATTGGGGCCTCTGGTTCCCTCTGGACTCTGCCCCAGTACCCCAGCCCACCTCACACCTGGATTCTGTCCTAGGTGGACAGAGGACTTGGCCTGAACTCATACTGCCACCCCAAGACTGAGCCACAAGTAACCCCGGCTGACACCTACCTGTCACTGCTGGAGGAGGATGGTGGCCGCTCAGGCTTTGGTTTCCGCCCTCGGGGCTTTGGGGGAGGCTTCTCAACTGTGGAAGAAGGGGAGGGGGTGGTTCATCCACCATCACTCCCAGAGCTGCTGGGTGAGGAGGACAGGGACGGGAAGCCTGCCCCAGCTCCCTAGCAGAGGCGGCCCAGAGTAGCAGCTGCAGAGAGCAGGCCTCAGGCCCGGGTCAGCCCTACCTGGCTTTCTGCCACGTGGAGGCTTCTTGACAGACACATCCGAGTCGGAGGAGGAGGGGGAAGAGGAGGAGGAAGACGCTGACCTCTCCAAGGCTACTGGCTCCTCCTTAGCCCCATCTGAATCTGCTTTGGATTCCGAGTCAGAGGCTGATGGCACCTTCTGGAAAGTGACAGGGCCAGCCAGGAGGTCAGGAGGCTGAGGGGTGGGATGGGAGGCCAGGTGCACAGGGCAAGGAGAGGCTGAATCTGCCCTGGCCGGCCCGCCCCCCATTCAGGGCTCACTCTGAGCATYCCATCACCCCCTAAATCCACCCCCATCTCCACAGTGAAAACACAGGGCCACAGGCAGCCCTGGCATCTTGGGCCACGGCTGGATYCTTCACTTGGGGTAAGGGGCCTCTCCCCAGACCTCACTTCCTCACAGGTGACAGGGAGCAGAGCAGAGCCCCGGGGTTTGGTGGCAGGATCGTYGTGCAGTCCTACACAGGGGCTACCCAGACAAGCTGCTTCCTTTGCCTTCAACCGCCCAGCCCCAACAGATAGCGCAAGCATACAGGGACACAGCGACACAGCTTTGTACACACTCTGGTACACCGACACACATTTACAAACACACAACACACTCATGCACAAAAAAAACTCAGTGACACACAAAACACATCCATGGACACACCACCCACACTTATTCATGCTCATATTAGCAGACACACACACACAATCAGACACAGGAACCCTCGAGKCTGTGTTGTTCCAGAATCCACTTTTCCAAGCCTGATGGCGGCCTCTCAGCACCTGCTCCTGGTACAGCATGAGCACGTGGGCGTTCAGAAATCTGCTGCTCTGTGGCACCTCCCTGCGGCCTGGTCCCCCTTCCCACAAGGGCCAAACTCTGCACTGAGGGCAGGGCCTGGCACCGTGACGAGAAGCCCTAGGTGAGCAAGGGAACAAAACCGACAGGGTCTACCTTTTTCTTCCGTCCTCCCAGAGGGCCCCGTCGTGGCGCTCGGACCACGGCTTTCTTCTCGGGGGTGAAGTCCTGGGTGAAGAGACAGGAGCTTCAGGGGCCGTTGCTGACTGGCTCCCTCACAGGCCCCCGAGCCCCCCATCAAGGAGCTGCTGCCTGCTGACCTGGTCACTGGTCTTTGCTGACTCTGATGAGCTCTCCGAGTCCTCTGCAGATGGAGACACACTGGCCTCATCCAGATCGCTGGAGGCTTTTCGAGCTCGTTTTGAGACTGACATCTGTGAGGGAACAGTCTGGTCATATCAGCAGCTGAGAAACCTGTGATCCCCACCTGGTCTCTCATAGCTCAGTAGAGGTCAATCCTAGAAGCTTCCACGGGAATCTTTGAGAATCTAATAAAAACCAGGGATCCACTCTTGAGGACATAATAGTCAGTGAAATGAGCCTGTCAACACTAGGTGACACACTGCAGGACTCCACTCACAGGAGTTGTCAGAGCCACAGACACAGGAAGCAGAAGAGAAGGAGCCTGGGGCTGGGAGGGGCTGGGTTTAGTGTTGAGTGGAAGAAGCTTCAGTTTAAGTTGGAAAGTTCTAGAGATCTATGGCAGTGATGGCACACACCACATCAATGTGCCTGATACCACTGAGTCATACACTTAAGGATGGTTAGTGGGGCCGAGCATGGTGGCGCACACCTGCAATCCCAGAAGTTCAGRAGGCTGAAACAGGAGGGTCACAAGTTCAAGGCCCACCTCAGAAACTTTAGTGAGGTCCTAAACAACTCGGCAAAACCCTGCTTCTAAATAAAATATAAAAAAGGGGTGGGAGGGGCTGGGGTGTAGCTCAGGGGCAAAACGTTTGACTCGCATTTGCAAATCCCTGGGTTTAATCCTAGGTGCGCGCACACACACACACACACACACACACACACACACACACACACACACAGAATGGTAGTGGGATGTTATGTGAGCTTCAGGTCAATAAAAAAAAAACAGATAGTCTTTATTCAATTTCAGGGACATACGTGTTCTCTGAAGTCCACGTGAAGAAAACAACTTTAGAATCATACAAAGGATTAACTGAGGCAGTAAAAAGAAATGGGCCTTAGAAATCAATCCCTGCCCAGTAACAACAGCACAGTTTCCCATCAGGACATCTGTTCAGAGTCACGAAGCACTTCTGCCCATTCTGCCACAACCAGAGACGTGCTCATCTTCCTAACAACTGTTGACTACTSTGTGCCCCACCTGAGGCCTCAGCATTAGGGACTAGTTGTGTATCTATGTTTGGCAATAAGGTCTTGAGAGAGGGCACAAGGTAAGAAGAGGTCACTAGGGTAGGCCTAATGCAGTATGACTGGGTCTCTCTGAGAAGGGGAGACTCGGACACAGACACAAAGGAACAACTATGACGGGACACATCAGGAAGTCCCAGCCCCACCACACCTTGATTTCAGACTTCTGGCTCTAGGGTTGTGGGAAGTAAGGTCCTACCATTTGAGCTGTTCCAGCTGCAGCACTCAGTTGCGGCAGCCAACCTAGCACATACGTGTACTTGGTGACCCCTCAATGAGAGGTGAAGCCCCTGCTCCTGGGTGACTTATATTTTAGTCCAGAGACAGATGTAAATATTAAAGAAGACTCTGTTAGAACAAGAAGTCCTGTGAAATAAAAAAGGGCTGGTTGGGGTGCCTGAGATCAGCAGCTCAGAGGTAGATGCTGCTATGAGGCCTGGGGCAGAACACGGGGAACAGAGGCTGGACAGCCACAGGTGCCAAGGCCTTTGGGACGAGGAGCCTGGCATTTCAGAAGATGTGAAGAAGGCCTGGTGGCGGAACAGGCAGTCAGAGGACAGGGCTCTGGCTGGGGCTGGATCCACAGGGCTGCACAGGCTGTGTGGAGTTAGACCCCATCTTACAGATGCCAAGCCAAGGCCTGCTGAGGCTCATCTCACACCACACCTTTAAAAAGGGAGGTGGGGGCTGAGGTTGTGGCTCCGCGGTAGAGCACTCGCTTAGCATGTGTGAGGCCCTAGGTTTGATCCTCAGCACACATAAATAAAATAAAGGTACTAAAAAACAAAAAAGGAGGTGGCTGAGATGAGCAGCGAGCTTAGGCCAGGGTCAGAGAGAAAGGACATCAAGAAAAAGGAAGCGAGGGAATTAAATATTCTTTGTTTCCTTCCTCATCTGCATTAGGATGAAGACTCTTAACCCAGCATTCAGGAAATGCCCGAATTATACATTTTTTGTATCCTGAAGCAGCTCCAGACCCTGAGAAAGGTTAAGCATTTGAAGCTGGGGTGTGGCCTGGTGCCCTGGACAATAGGGCAGAACRGGAGGACTAAGACGACCAGGATGTTAAAAGGGCAACTGAGCTGGTGTGGGTGGTGGCTCACGCCTGTAATCCCACTGGCTCAGGAGACTGAGGCGGGAGGATCATAAGTTCAAAGCCAGCTCAGGAAAAGCAAGATGCTAAGCAATTTAGTGTGACCCTGTCTCTAAATAAATTACAAAATAGGGCTGGTGATATGGCTCAGTGGTCGAGGGCCCCTGAGTTCAATTCCTGGTACCAAAAAAAAAAAAAGAGCAACAGCATGTGGTCCTGAAGCGGGCCTTGTAAAAAAGGACGCACTCTTCCTATATGCACATGGAAGGCTGAAGAGGAGGCCAGGGGGTGGGCGCCAAGTGTCCCTGAGCAGGACAGCTCTGTACCATGGCAAAAACAGCACACAGGCAGTGTCCAGGTGGAAAGACCAGCTCAGTGTCCCTACTGGCCAGGCACCATGCTAGGCCCGACTCCAAGAAGGCTCATGGTGGGGGTCTAGGATGTCTTTTTTWAAAAAATATTTATTTATTTATTTTAATTTTAGGTGGACACAGTATCTTCATTTTATTTTTATGTGGTGCTGAGGATCRAAATCAGTGCCCCCACATACTAGGCGAGTGCTCTACCCCTGAGCCCAACCATAGCCCTAGGATGTGTTTTAACCCATAAAATCCTTACAAAAGGAGGTACTCAATGGGGCCTTCAGAAGATAAATATGAAGTCCAGATCTACAGCTAAAAGGAAAAGTTCTGACAAAATAATGTGGCCAAAGGGAGAGTATAAAGCTGATTGCTTATTAAACCACAGCCCCAAAGACAGGAAAGGAACGCCAAGGGCATGTTACGGTGAAGATCACAAATGGAAGGGCTTTCCAACAAATGCCCAATGCTATTAAAAAGAGTTATAATAATTTATATTTGTTTAAAGCAAAATTGCAAAAAAATTGGTACATACTGAATACAGACTGAACCATACTGACTACCTCTAAGTGTGAGAGGACGGATTCTATATATTTCTGTGTGACTCCTCAAACAACAAGTGGAAATAAATGGGAACTTCTAAAAAACAATGTCAAAGCATATCATAAAAAGTTGGGGAAGGGCAGAGGCTGAGGCTGGGGCTGGGGTTCAGTGGTAGAGCGCTCACCTATCAATGCGAGGCCCTGGGTTCAATCCTCAGCACCACATAAAAATAAATAAATAAGGGCTGGGGATGTGGCTCAAGCGGTAACGCGCTGGCCTGGTGCACGCACAGTGCTGGGTTCGATCCTCAACACCATTTAAAAATAAAATAAATAGGTTGTGTTCACCAAATATGAAAAATAAGTATTAAAAAATTCTCTTTAAAAAAAAGTAAATAAAATAAAGATATTGTGTCCCATAATAACTAAAAAATAAATATAAAAAAAAAGTTGGGGAAAAAACTACTCAACAATCTTAGGATAGCAGTTAGAATTAATTTATATTATAGACAACTTCTCAGCCATTGAAAACTTCAATGTAAAACAAAATGCAGACAAGAGCAATGGTATACTCCTGTAATCCCAGCAACTTGGGAGGTTGAGGCAGTAGGATCCCAAGTTCAAAGCCAGCCTCAGCAACTTAACGAAGCCCTGAGCAACTCAGCAAGAAACTGTCTCAAACTAAAAAATAAAAAGAGCTGGGGAGGTGACTCAGTGGTTAAGTGCCCCAAGGACATCAATCTCTAATAACCAACCAACCAACCAAAATGTAATGCAAGGAAATGCTCATAACACTACCTACACAACAAACAAGCTCCCCAATACATCAGGATATCATGTATCCTTGCTTTGTTCAGTAACACCCCACAGACAGCAAGAAACTTTTTTTTTTTTTTTTTTTTTAGCTTTCTGCATTTTCCAAAATACCTACAATGAATATGGCTCATGGCTTTAGAAGCAAAAGCAAATGTTATTATAAAAACTAATTGGGGGGCTGGGGATATGGCTCAAGAGGTAACGCGCTCGCCTGGCATGCACGGGGCGTTGGGTTCAATCCTCAGCACCACATAAAAATAAAGATGTTGTGTCCACTGAAAACTGAAAAATAAATATTAAAAAAAATAATAATAATAATTGGGGGGCTGGGGTTGTGGCTCAGGAGTAGAGCACTCGCCTCACATGTGTGAGACCCTGGGTTCGATCCTCAAAAAATAAACAAAATAAAGACATTGTGCCCATATATAACTAAAAAAATAATAAAAAACAAAAAAATAATGGGGGGGGCTGGGGTCGTGGCTCAGCTGTAAAGCGCTTGCCTAGCATGTGTGAAGCCCTGGGTTCGATCCTCAGCACCACGTAAAAATAAATAAATAAAATAAAGGTATTGTGTCCAACTATAATTAAAAAAATTTTAAAAATTAAAAATAAAAATAATGGGGGGTGCTGGGTATATAGCTCAATTGGTAGAGTGCTTATCTCACATGCACAAAGCCCTGGGTTCAATCTCCAGCACCACTAAAAATAAAAATAAAAATAAGGAGCCAGGGTTGTGGCTCAGGGGTAGAGCACTTTCCTTGCAGGTGT